ATCTCTTTCTAATCCTGACAGACATCCTCCCCTTCTTCACTGATCCTTTATCTTGCAGTGAAGACCTGCATAAGGAAGTTGATTCCTGGTATGTTCCTGATACCTGGTATATTCCTGATAAGACACTGTTCGTGAACTTGTGCCAAGTTTCTATGAACCTGGGAAACTGGGTGGGTATCTGTGCTCCTGATTAATACTGTTCAGCAAACAGATCAAAACTACATGAAGTATAATCACTAGCAGGGAGGGATAGTCAATCAGAGAGCTCCTGTGGTTGAGCTGCTGTGAGGCCACTAACTCAACTGGCGGCAGTCAGGGCTTTCATGCCCATGTGCTGACATGAGCCTGAGTTGAGATCATGAAGACATGATGGCCCCCTCTGTTTTGGGGTCAATATAGGATGGGCCTCCTTTCCTCTCAATTCCTCCACATCCTAAAAGGTAAATTTTTTACCTTTAATCTCTTTCAGACTTGAGACTACTTTGTAATAAAACTATTCTCAATTTACATCACATATGGATGATTATTCTATCTCCCTCATATGCTGCAACATCCTCCAAGTCAGAGTCATCACTCTTGATCCCCATTCACCCATTATACAAACATTTCAAATAGTATATGAGAAAGTAAAATAAAGAGTAAATGTCTTACAGCCTTACTCCCCAAAGATGACCACTATTAAGTTTCTTGCATCTGTCCCCATAAATGTTTGTGGGCATATACAAACTTCTGTGTTATTCAATGTTTGGTCCAATGAACAAAACTTAAAAGAAATATGGATATACAGAATTTTAAGTCATTTCTGGTTTAGGGCAGTATATAATTATAAGTAACTGCAAAATAAGATGTGTATGGACATTCCAACGTAATAGACATTCCAACGTAATACAACCTGCCTCCATCAACCACTCATACGGTCTCCACCTTCCAGGACTTCAGCAAGTATTGCATTTGGGTAGCAGGTGGAATTACCAGAGCACAAGCCTGGTGAGTCCAGCTCTGTCTCTAACACATGGTGGGTACTCCCTAGCCAAGTCACTCCACCTCTCTGAATCTCAGTTTCCTCTCCTACAAAAGGAGAAGGTGTTTTCAAAGGTTTCTTTGAGAGTTCAGAATTGAAGCTGATAATCAAGTACTGATAAATAAAACAGGTAAACCAAGGCCAAAGTATGAAAATCAAACACAATTATCACAGCTTACCAGGAAAATAAGGATGCAAATTAGACTGGAGCAGTTATTTGAAAAATATTTTAATTTTAATTTTTATAACTGACATATAACATTATATTAGTTTTAGGTGTACAACATAATGACTTCATATTTATATACAGTGAAAAATGATCATCACAGTAAGCCTCGTTAACAGCCATCACCATCCCAATTACAAAAATATTTTTTTTCTTGTGATGAGAACTTTTCAGATCTAATCTGTTAGCAACTTTCAAATACACAATGTAGTATTATTAACTATAGTCACCATGTTGCACATTGTATCACCAGGACTTACTTATTTTATAACTGGAACTTTGTACCTTTTGATTGCCTTTACCCATTTTGTCCTTTCCATACCCATGAACTTGGATTTCTTTGGTTTTGTTTTTTATAATCCACATATAAATGAGATCATACAGTATTTGTCTTTCTCTGTCTTATTTCACTTAGCATAATCTCCTCTAGGTCCATCCATGTTGTCACACATGGCAAGATTTTATTCTTTTTTTATGGTTGAAATATATATATATCTCCCACAACTTCTTTATCCATTCATCCATAGATGGACATTTAATTTCCATATCTTGGCTATTGTAAATAATGCTGCAATAGGGGGTGCATATACCTTTTCGAGTTAGTGTTTTCATTTGCTTTGGATAAACACCCAGTCATAGAATTGCTGGATCATATGGTAGTTCTATTTTTATTTTTGATTTTTTAATTTTTTTTAACAGGTTTCTGTTTTCCATAGTGGCTGCATGAATATATATTCCCACCAACAGTGCACAAGGGTTCCTTTTCTCCACATCCTTGCCAATGCTTGTTCTTTCCTATTTTTTGATGACAGCATCCTAACAGATGTGAGATGATAGCTCACTGTGGTTCTAACTTACATTTCTCTGATGACCAGTGCTGTAGAACATCTTTTTCATATGGCTGTTGGCCATCTGTATGACTTAGTTGGAAAAATGTCTGTTCAGATCTTTTGCCCATTTCTTAATTGAAATGTTTGGGTTTTTTGCTACTGAGTCATATTAGTTCTTTATATATTTTGATAATTAACCCCTTACAAGATCTATGATTTGCAAATATTTTCTCCCACTCAGTAGGTTGCCATTTCATTTTGTTGATAACTTCCTTTACTGTGCAGAAGCTTTTCAGTTTGATGTAGTACTTTATTTTTGCTTTTAGTGTCAGATTAAAAAAATCATCATCAAGACCATTGTCAAGGAACTTACCTCCTATGTTTTTTTGAAGGAGTTTTATGGTTTCAGGTCTTATATTCAAGTCTTTAATCCATTTTGAGTTATTAGTTTTTTGAGATGGTCCAATTTCATTATTTTGCCTGTGGCTGTCCAGTTTTCCCAACACCATTCATTGAAGAGAATGTCCTTTTCCCCACTGTATATTCTTGGCTCCTCTGTCATAAATTAATTGACCACATATACATGGGTTTATTTCTGGGCTCTCTATTCTGTTCCACTGATCCATGTGTCTGTTTTTATGCCAATACCATGATTACTATAGCTTTGTAATATAGTTTGAGCTCAGGAAGCATAATACTTCCAGCTTTGTTCTTCTTTGTCCAGATTGCTTTGGCTATTTGGGATCTTTTATGGTTCCACACAAATTTAAGAATTCTTTGTCTAGTTCTGTGAAAAATGCTATTGGAATTTTGATAAGGATTACACTGGATCTCTAGATTGTATTGGGTGGTATGGATATTTTAACAATATCAATTCTTCTAATCCATGAGCACAAAATATCTACCCATTTATCTGGTCTTTTTCAATTAGTTTCATCAATGTCTTACAGCTTTCACTGTGCAGGTCTTTTACTTCAATTAAATTTATTCTTAGGTATTTTATTCTTTTTTGATACAACTGGAAATGGGATTTTCTTAATTTCTCTTTCTTTCTTTCTTTCTTTCTTTCTTTCTTTCTTTCTTTCTTTCTTTCCTTTGTTTCTCTCTCTCTCTTTCTTTCTTTTAGATTTATTTGACAGAGAGAAAGAGTGCGCACACAACCAGGGGGAGTGGCAGAAGGAGAAGGAGAAACAGGCTCTCTGCTGAGCAGGGAAGCCAATGTGGAGCTCGACCCTAGGACTCCGAGGATCATGACCTGAGCCAAAGGCAGATGCTCAACCCACTGAGCCACCCAGGCACCCTTTAATTTCTCTTTCTTAGAATATAGAAACAACAGATTTTTGTATATTGATTTTGTATCCTGCTACTTTATTTCTTTCATGAGTTCTATCAGTTTTTTTGGTAGAGACTTGGTTTTTCTCTATATAATACATAATCTGCAAATAGTTTTACTTCATTCCTTTTTTAATTTAGATCCCTTATTTCTTTCTCTTCCTAACTGCTTTGGCTAGGACTTCCAATACTTTGTTAAATAAAAGTGGTGAGAATGACTATCCCTGTTTTATTTTTGATCTTATGATGGAGTATGATGTTACTTATGGGCTTGTCATATTATGGCCTTGATTACGTTGAGGTTCCTTCTATACTCACTTTTTTGAGAGTTTTTATCATAAGTGAATGTTGAATTTTGTCAAGTGTTTTTTCTAAATCTATTGAGATGGTCATATAGTTTTTATCCTTTGTTTTGTTAATGTGGTATATTACACTGATTGCTTTGCAGATGTTGAACCATCTTTGCATCTCTGGAATAAATGCCACCTGGTCATGGTGTATGATCCTTTTAATGTATGTTGAATTCGGTTTGCTAAGATTTTGTTCAGGATTTTTGCATCTATGTTCATCAGGAATATTGGCCTTTAATTTTCTTTTCTAGTGGCATTTTATTTGGTTTTGATATCAGGGTAATGCTGGCCATATAAAATGAGATTGGAAGCATTCCCTTGGAGCAATTTTTTAAAACAATTTCCTGATCTATAATTCATAGGAAATCCATTTCTTGTTTTACCAGAGGTATATCAAGCAATATACACTGATCCTGAAGTTATCTTAGGATATAGCCACAATCCTTCAGAAGTAGAGCCAACCCATGTTTACTCATTTCTCAGCAATGCATGTGACCTTCTCATCAGCCTCAGAGAGCTTATGAGTATTTTTCCATTGTCAAGAGTCATATATAAGTTCAATGTTACATTCAGTAGCTACAGGGCTACAATTTAAGCAAGTAGTTAACATCATAATTCCTATTTGCCACCTCAGTGACAATTAGCTGCCTACCAGGGAGGAGGTTCCTGTTGATCAGACCACATATGCTGTTCTGTCCTGTTTGTTCTGTTTTGACAGGGTCCTTTACCAGGAGCATAGATAAATATCCGGAGGAGTGTCAAAGTGATGAGGGAGGGACTTGAGAAAAGGGAAAAGGTGCTGGAAGCAGGTAGGGTACCATCAGTGTTAAACATCTATTGGGCGATTTGACTGCAAGCCAACAGCAGCAAAGCTACTAATAATGGTTGAAAACCTTTGTTCTAGGGCAAAGCTAGGCAAAGGAAAGTGGCATTCACAGTGTCTTTGTCAGGTGTTTTTGCCATTTCTCTCAGAGGCAGGAGAGATGGAGGTTAACAGAACAAACTCTGGAGTTAGAAAGATATGGGTGCTGCCACTATTAGACTATTACCTAATCAATTCTGAGCCTCTATTGTTTATTTATCTCAAAGAGACAGACAAGGCAATACATGCATTGTGCTTATTATTATTATCATCTGGAACTGTGGATTCTGTGAGTTATCTCCCACTAAACACAAGAACCTTAAAAAACAATTACAAACAAAACTGAAAAATTATCGCCTGGTAAAGGAGCTGTTCTTACCTGAAAGGAATTCATATAGCGAAGGGATGGAGGCAGTGTGGCATTATTCCTTGATAAAATCAGCAGCAGCTCTAAGCAGGTTGCAGAGGGCAGGGTTAGAGAGTGGATGCTGATGTCACTTTCCCAAGCACTGGAAAGCCTGAAACATAATGATGTGGATAGTTTCATAATTGTGGGGCACTTGGGTTGCTCAGTCAATTAAGCATCCGATTCTTGATTTCAGCTCAGGACATGATCTCAGGATGGTGAGATCCAGCCCTGTGTTGGGTTCCAGGCCTGGCATGATTCTTTCTTTCTCTCTCTCTCTCTCTCACTTCCTGTGCCTCTGCCCCTCTCCCACCCGCTCCGTACTCTCTCTCTCTCTTAAAAAAATAATAATTTTATAATTGTATCTGGTCATAATTGTTTCAAAAATCTGATGGAGAAGAAGACTTTCAACTGTGAAAGGGAAAAACAATGCACAAAAATACAAATAAAATGGTTATACTAAAATTTCACAGAGTAAATGTCTAAGACATTTTTATAGTGTTTTTGACATGAAACAGATTAGGCAATTTTTTCAGGTCAACATCTCATGTTCAAAGTTTAAGAGTCACATGAAATGCAATCTTATTTGTGAGGGACGTATGTGGGGTGGGGAATGGATAATATAGCTAACAGATTGAATGCTTCCTATATTCTATGTCCTCTTCTAACAGATTGAATGCTTCCTATATTCTATGTCCTCTTCTATATGTAACATCGTGTTCACCCCTCAGATACCTATGAAATGGAACTGTTGCTGTCTTCTTTCTACAGATGTGGAGATTGTTTTTGAGCTGGATATGCCCTATGAAATATCTAGTTCATTGATTTTCAAACCTTTAAAAAGTAATGGAATCCTTTTATCAAGAAATCTTGTCAAAGCTCCATTTGTAATACAAATAAAAGCAAAGCTGCTCTGTTGGAAGGGCAAAGGTTAGCAGGAGGCTCTCTTCATCTTTTAAAGTAGCCTATGAAGCATCTCTGCTACATCCTGTTGAACCTACTTGAAAATTCTTTCCATTCAAGAAATGAAGAAACTGAAGGATAGAAAAGTAGAGAGACTTCTCTGGGATAAGGTACGTGTTTAGAAAATGATATGGCTGGATCTAGAATCCTGGTTTCTGGACTTCCCTTCTAATGTTTAATGTAAAGGGGAAAATCAGAAAATCATTATGGAAAAAACAATGTAATAAGAATAGGATATATCTTATGCTGTCAATTCTTCTATTTACCTATTTCCTACCTGTGTCTGTATCAAAGTATCTCTTATCACTGTCCTAATTCTTAAAGAGAAATTATATATATGTAGATGTACGCCACTTATGTAAACTTCTTTCTGTGAAGCTACCTAAAAAATTCTGGAATGTCAGAGAGCATCAGGGGCTGAGGGCATAATGGATTTTAACACTTATGAGTCACAGGAGATGGTTTAGCTGTGTCAGCAGTCAGATTACTTGTGCCAATACATTTTTGATGTGGGGTGGGGAATTAACTCTTCTTTGCAGCATTTGTCAATTAGTTGGACTGAAATAGGACACTGCCCACTTTCCCAAAAAATGGTCTGTTTTCAGCAACAGCACATTTGAATGTCTTCTCCATGTTTTAATGTCTTCTCTATTTTATATTGATTGCTATTATTATTCTTTCTCCTTTTATTAATTATACAACATTCTCAACATTTCTCTAGGATGGAAATAAAAATCTTGCTGTCTTTGGTAAAAGTCAAATGTAGTACTAGTACAGTGGCTCTAAGCTCAGTCTCCCTACCCCCTTCCTTATGCTCTCTACAAACCATGTAATTACTTGTGTTACATTAAACACACAGTGTCTTGCTCATACAGTTTTCTGGGCCTGGAAGGCTTTTAAGCTACCTGGTGAACTTCTGTTTATCCTGCAAGACCCACATATGTATCATTTCCTTGGAGACTCCTCTTGTTTCCTTTTTAAGAATTAACTACTTGCCTAATACCATATTTGTATTCATTATAACACTTACCACCACCCTACTTGTATTCTTATTGGATTGTGTGACTCACCCTAGATCAGACATAAGCAACCATAACCCGTGGATTTCTCTAACTTTGCTGCCTAGTGTGGAAATAAAGGTTAGATTAGTTGTTTTTCCTTGGGCACACCCAGGTATTAACCTTTTACTGGCTATAAGAAAAACATTTCACTGACATTTATTTGTATGCCCAATAATTTATTTTCCAAGTGTTATTTTTATAATCAGAAACAAGTTAATGTCATGATGTCAATGGGATTTCTGGGTCACACAAAGGAATGTTTAACTGCTGCTCAAAGGTGGCAACATGCTGCTAAGTGGCTATGGTGTGATCTATCAAAAAAAAAATACTCAAGTAGAAATTAAAATACATTAGTATTCCTTGTCACAGACCAGTGAATGAGCTTAGACAAACACTCCTGGACAAGTCTGGTTTCCTCATGAGATCCTGGAGTCCATACACAACCTATACAATGTATTAATCCACCAATATTTACACAAAAGAACATTCATCACACTAATGATATCCATAGTCACAAAAAAGATGCACTTAGTTATACATGTGAGTTATTCAGGTCTCCATGTAATTACAAATATTTGCATGGTATGTGGATTCAACCTTGGCATTTAAAATCTAATCCTTCAAGTATCCTGTGATTTAACAAATTCTTATCCCTATTGAAGCTCATGGAGTTGAAGAGTGTTGTCCTGATCACATCGTAAGTGATGGAAAAGAAACTCAAGTATGATCCTCTCCATCTAAATTTCATTCCCTTTTATATCTTATAAATGCTTGGTATTTCTGAACAAATTCTATTCAAAAAAGCCAAAGGGTAAATGATGGAGTAAATTTTAGATATCTTAGAACATTTCTTTTCTTAATAATTTGAACCCCTTATTTTTGAAATTAAACAACCCAGCTAGACCTAGGATGCCTCAAATTCCTAATATTTATCCTTTCATTTATCCTAATATTTATTCATTTACTCTTTCTTTTCCACAATATATATTCATTAGCTCCAGGATTTACCTTTTTATTGTTAAGTTTTATAAACATTCTTTATAATCTTAACCACATATTATTATTTTTTTTAAATAATTTTTATTTATTTATGATAGTCACAGAGAGAGAGAGAGAGGCAGAGACATAGGCAGAGGGAGAAGCAGGCTCCATGCACCGGGAGCCTGACGTGGGATTCGATCCCGGGTCTCCAGGATCGCGCTCTGGGCCAAAGGCAGGCGCCAAACCGCTGCGCCACCCAGGGATCCCTAATCTTAACCACATATTATTTTAATCACAGAAACATCCATATATGAGGACAAAAAGAAAGTAATACATGAAAAGTGATTAGCAGTTGTTTTGGAAAGTTAGAACTATGGGTAACTTTTCCCCAAAACATCAGTCAATGTTTTTACATTGTGTGTGTGTGTGTGTGTGTGTGTGTGTGTGTTTTGTCTTGGTTCGTTTTGACTTAGGAAGAAAGAAAAAAAGAAAGCAAGAAGATGGAGAAATGGTCTGGCATACTTAAAATTCAGGTTACCGTAAAACAACCAGCAAACTCCTTATGACAATTTAAGGTATGTATTAATTAAGCCAGAAGTGATCCTTGAGACGATCTACTCAGAGCTCAAATATCAATACAAAGTTATGTTAATGACATAAATATTTTAAGAAGCACAGGATTATAATAATCCAGAATTTAGATTTCTGGTATTTCCTGCAAAAACATCCTAGACTGTTAGACCTAAATCAGTAAACTTCCACTATAAAACTGACAAGAAAGATAATTCAAAGTGAATAACAAACTTAACATTAACTGAAATTTATTTTGGTGATTTTAAAGTAGTGGGAGAGGAGAAGCTTTCCTAAGAGACCAGAGCTATCAGCCAGGTGACCTTAGTCAGAGACCAAAATGCAAGCAGAGGACACACTATCCTTATTTCTGAACTTTTGCCTTGACAAAATTCCCTAAAGAAGAAACTATGGCCTATTTTTAAAGAGGCAATGAGAAAGGGGCAAAAAGCCACTTTCCATCATTTCTAACAAAAATAGTGAAATTGAGAGTGAATCAACCCCCAATATATATCAGAAAAAGAACTTGAGAAAATGGAAAGGTGATACAGTCTACTAAAAACCAGGGGTTGTTTAATGTAATAGATGAAAATGACAGAGATGATAAAACTCAACAAAAATTAATATATTTCAAATGATTCCAACATAATATATGGAGAAGAGAAAATAATATGGTATAGGAGAACTCAAGATGAAAATATTTAACTTAAATTTCATGTTTCTCACGTATTAGCAGTTGATTTGGACTCTCCAGTCTTAGAAGGATGTAAGAAAGCAAATAGCCTATTAATGATAAAATATAATACTGTTTATATCTGTATATTTTTACATTTCAATTTCAAAGCTATAACAATGATAAAGCTCAATTTAAGCTCTCAAGATACCAAAACAAGCATATGACCACAACTTAGTGCTAGACTCATTATAAACATATAATTACTTAATACATTATTTAGAGAAGGAATCAAAATTTTAAAAATTCTTATACTGTCAAGAACACAAAATTCAGAAACAACCAAATATACTGTTTATCTGTTATGATAATATTTACTCCAGGATATTTAACATTTCAAAAGAACTAATTCATAAAAATAGAATCTAAAAAGTGCTTAAACCAACTGCTCCTTATAAATTTCAAAATAAGGTTCAATAAGTTATGAACAGCACTTCTTTGAAATTACAGTATTTTCTTTAAAAAATTACAGAAAAAAATTGAATTTTTTTATGTCACAAATGTCAAAGCTGTCCTTCAGTTTGCTTTAAACTAAAGGGCTCTTGAGAGGAAAAAATTAGGTACACAATTCCTAAAAGCTATGCCTTTTAAACTCTGTCCACAAAACATATAAAATGTCAAGGCAATCTCTCTCTCTCCCACATATCAGAGAGCATGGAGGAAATGGTTCTGCTTTGAATAAGATATCAACGAGGCAATCTCAAAATTAAGTGTTCTTATTCTCTGCCAAAAAACAATAAAAGATTTTGTTTTTTATTAATGGCTATATCATTACAGGATACCACTTGTTGAAAACTTAGGGAT